ATTATGATTTTTGAGCGCCTGTGTTGGTTATGTGAGTAAATGATGTGTTTGATGAGGGCCTTGAAATGAAATGAAGAACTGCTGATGTGAGGATTACCCAGAACGTACTGGAGGCACTTTTGTCGATGGTTAGCATGGCGAATATTGGAAAGCTATGAAAATGACGAGAAAATGCTGGTTTCACTCACTGTGGCCTGGTTGCTGTGGGCCGTACACGGGTTGTCCATGTTGGCCGGAATTCATAAAACATGATAGGTTGAGACGGGTGGCCCTGTTGAGAGCCCTGATGCATCATCATAGGTGCCCCTCGGCTTGGGCTGGGGTAGCCACTGTGTGGCTGAGGAGGCGGTGGTACATGCTGAGGGTAGGCATGGCCGGCATTTGGAGAGTACATCGGCATCTGGGGATTGTATGGGACGCCCATACCTTGTGGCATACCAGCATAAGGGCCATTTGAAGGTTGCTGGGCCATCATTGGTGCCCCCATGCCGGTTTGCGGGTGAACAAACTGTGGACCACCGGGATAGTGTCGCATGTGAGCAGATTGGGGACCCTGGCCGGTGTACAACTGCGGAACAGGTTGTCCATATGCGAGCTGTGCATGATGTCCCATAGGAGAATGGTATGCCACGTGGGTTTGCTGCAGTCGGGGGGACGGGTATACTTGTGAGGTAGAAGCAGAAATGTGCATACGATGGTGATCATCAAAGTGTGGGGGCGCTGAGGGGTGGTGTGATTGTGGGTGGGGATGAGGATGGGCTTGAGGAGGGCCCGTGGTTGGAGGAACACCGTGCTGAAGGTGGAACGGCAGCTGATGTTGATGTGGTATTTGAGGATTAGATGCAGCCCGTTGCGGGTAAGCCGAGGGTGCAGGTGTAGGAGTTTTAAACATATCAGCGTAAGTCTTCTCGGCATTGATCGGAGCAACCTCCCATGTAGGTGGAGTTCGATACGCTGGAGGAATTCCGCCATTAAATGCGTAGTCTTTACTGCTCTGCGTGGTTGCTTCCTTTTTCATACGCTTAACCGGGTTGAAGAAGTCGTTAATTGAAGGTCGCTCTGATGCTGGTAGTGGCTTCTTTGCGCCGAAAAATGCGGATGGGCTGGCAGCACGTGAAATTGATCGTGGTCTAGCGTTAGGTGCTGGGCTTGACGGTATAGCAGACGCGCCTGCAGGAGTAAATGTATTTTGCAGCAGGATTAGGCTCTGAAATCATGTGCCTTGACATTGAATTTCGTTTGAGGGTAGCCGATGTTGGGCCTCTGCCCCCGATTTATGCCAATTATGGAGATTGGAACGGACCACCAGCAAAGGTTCCTCTAGGGGAAATGCGGGCCATCTGGAACGATAAGCGGGGGGAGCATGGAATGAACCATTCTCTCCCCCCCTTTCTTTTTCTGAATAATCTTCCCATGCGTGGGCTGGAAAAAAAACCGGG